TTCCTTCCAATCTCAATCTATGCCTTTCCAATCTTAGTCTATATCTTTCCAATCTTAGTCTATATCTTTTCAATCTCAGTCTATATCTTTCCAATCTCAATCTATGCCTTTCCAATCTCAGTCTATATCTTTCCAATCTTAGTCTATATCTTTCCAATCTTAGTCTATATCTTTTCAATATCAATTTATGTCTTTTCAATCTCAATTTATGCCTTTCCAATCTAAATCTTTTCCTTTCCAATCTCAGTCTATATCTTTCCAATCTTAGTCTATATCGTTCCAATCTTAGACTATATATTTCCAATCTTAGTCTATATCTTTCCAATCTTAGTCTATATCTTTCCAATCCTAGTCTATATCTTTCCAATCTTAATCTATATCTTTCCAATCTTAGTCTATATCTTTCCAATCTTAGTCTATATCTTTCCAATCTCAGTCTATATCTTTCCAATCTTAGTCTATATCTTTACAATCTCAGTCTATATCTTTCCAATCTCAGTCTATATCTTTCCAATTTTAGTCTATATCTTTCCAATCTCAATTTATGCCTTTCTAATCAAAATCTATTCATTTCAATCTAAGTTTATGCCTTTCAAATCTCAATCTATGCCTTTAAAATATCAATTTATGAATGAGGAAATTAATCTTTTATTTAGAATGTATAAGTAGGTTTTCCACTACACTTTCGGCATATAGAATATATCGTTTATATGGTCGGCTTGGAATATAATTATATCAAATGTGTTTCGAAAAACTTAAGTTAGAAATGAAAATAAAAGACTTAGTTTAATTATTTCTGAACATAATAATTTTAAATGGACGGAATCAGTTTAACTTAATATCTCCTCCACAGAATGTAAACTGAGCTGCGAACTCTAAAATTGTGGATATCGAGATCAATTATTAATCCTTTTCGTTTATTAACCTCAAGACTAACCTAATCTTTTATCCTGAAAAGTGTACACAATAAAACCAATCAGAGTCGCGTATCAGAAGCCGGGAAATTTGTAATTTTGCACGCAATTTCAGATTAATATACAGAAACGGGAGGGATTATCTAATTTTAAAAAAGGTTTTTGAATTTTCATGTACTGTATCCAAAACGAGTGGATTAAGCTTAAAAGTGTCCACACTGGATATTCGGATTAAGCAATCGGAATTAAAGGTATCTTATTCTAAGTTCCCAGCTCTGATTTCTTTGTCGAATCCGAAATGGTTTCGAACGAGAGATCTGCGTGGGAAGAGTACTCTGTGGAAATACACAATTTTGTTAGAAAAGGAAAAATGTGATTTCTACGCTGTTCACACTGAACCCTTTTTTACATTACGATAATTAATATAATATAATGTATAATGATGAATAAAAATAGAAAGAAAGTGAGTCTTTGCAACAAATCCCAATTTTCTAAAACCTATATATCTACAACCAAATTATGTAAACCTTAGATATTTCAAACTTTGATGTAATATAACAGAAGTCATAGTTTGAAATATCTAAGGTCTCCAACTGTATTGGGTTGTTAAGATCTTGGGAGTTTTAAAAACCAGAGTTTGTGGCAAAGACTCAATTCCTTTAACGTTGGATTTAAATGAAATAATTGACATTTTCGTTTTTGTTAAAGGTTTAGATATTTGTGAATTAAATATGGAATTCATTGTCACTAGAAATAAAAAAACTCGTGTTCCTTAAACTCATTAAAAATAAGTTTGCATGTGGATAATACAAATATGTATCTGCAATTTGAATGTTCAAGATCAAACTGTTATTCATGTATTTCTGAATAAATAAATGTGCCATCCTAAGTTCTGAGTTAGCTTTTGATTCTGATTGAGCTACATAACCCCTCCCCCCTCTCTTCCTAATACTTTCCCCTTACCTATTGAAGACGGCTAATGTTGGCTTGACAAATCCCGTCATTAAAGTGTTAGTTTAAATAATATATCTATGTAAAATTATGTACTTTAATGATAAATATATATATATACCTACCTACCTCCCTACCTAGTACCTACCATCTTATTGTATGAAAATTGTTCCTACACAAACTATGTGATTTGGAAAACAGTATTAGTAATATTAATTTACATTTATGGCTCTTCTTTGGGGGGATTTTAACTTAATCTATACATAAATTTTGCTTGTCTGTCTGTTTGTTTGTTTGTCTGTCTGTTTGTAAACGTCAAAACGGCTGAACCGATCGGGCCCAAATTTTGTGTGGGACATCACGTAACCACAGGGAAGGTTTTTCGAATGATAAAAATTAAAAAAAATGTGTTTTAAATGTTTTTAATTTGTAAAAAAATTTAAATTCTGGAAAATCCGCGAATTTTTTTTTAAATCCGCAAAATTTTTTTCTTCTTGTTTTAAAATGTTCACAAAGAGAACATGTTCACAATTTAAATAAAAGATGGGCGCGAAGCGCCCTAAAAGTCCGCCCATAAAGAAGGGCGCGAAGCGCCTTGAATTTCTAGTTTTAAAAAAATCCCTAAATTTATTAAAACAGTAAACAAACTTTATTGTTATTTTAATAAAATATAATTCTTGAAATAATGCTACGTAGAGTAAAAACAACTTTATTTCTAAATATTTTTGAAGGATTTCTGTGGAATTGTCATTGTTTACGAGTTGGGAGGATCTGAATGTTTATTGGTTTGTTTGTTTTTGTTACTATGGAAGGAGGGTCCAAGGCCGAGGATTTTATTTAATATTTAGATTAAGTCAGGGGACTGGGGACGTATCATGGGTCGGCTTTAATATAAATATTTGATGAAAGATTGCTAAAAATACGATTTATGTGTTTATTGTCTTCAACACATTGGTCAGAATATTGAACCTGAACAATAAGGTTCGAAACATTTAACAGATAACAGATATTGAACACCTAAGTTCAGATCGAATATTGAACACCATGGTTCAGAATATTGAACACCATGGTTCAGAATATTGAACTATATTCAGAATATTGAACACCTAGGTTTATAATATTGATCACCTAGGTTTAGAATATTGAACATATAGGTTTAGAATATTGAACACCAAGGTTCAGAATATTGATCTAGTAGGTTCAGAATATTGAACACATAGGTTCAGAATATTGCTCGCCTAGGTTCAGAATATTGAACACATAGGTCTAGAATATTGAACACCAAGGTTCAGAATATTGAACACCTAGGTTCAGAATATTAAACACCTAGGTTCAGAATATTAAACACCTAGGTTCAGAATATTGATCTCCTAGGTTCAGAGTATTGAACACATAGGTTCAGAATATTAAACACCTAGGTTCAGAGTATTTAACACCTAGGTTCAGAGTATTGAACACCTAGGTTCAGAATATTGATCTTCTAGGTTCAGAGTATTGATCACCTAGGTTTAATATATTGAACACCTAGGTTCAGAATATTGAACACCTAGGTTCAGAGTATTGAACACCTAGGTTCAGAATATTGAACTCCTAGGTTCAGAGTATTGAACATATAGGTTCAGAATATTAACCACCTTGGTTCACAATATTGACCACCTTGGTTCAAAATATTGAATTCAAATGCTGCATTTCTTGCGGGAAAAAAAGATTTCTCCTTTTAATATATATATAAGAATTCTTCCAATAGCACACCCCGTTGTGCATCATCAACCGTGCTCAACATTTATCAAATTTTGACGAATTGCCGATTTTCCAATCCCATATATTGGGCAGCACATGGGTTTAATTATTGAGAAAACAAAACACACAGATTCTAAATATTTACAATTTATGGAAAATTCAAGAAAGTTCGCAGATTCTTGTTTTTTATTATTCTTTTCTTTAAATTATTAACGTATTTTAATAATAGCTTCTAAACTTTAAACCAATTTGAACATTTTAAATTTAAAGTGTGGATTTTCTCATTTATTGCAATTGATTGTTTTGTAACGAATCTAGGTCCCGATCAATCTCTTAATACTTGACTCTAACTCTAATAACAAGTCTTCCCGACTTTATCTCCAGCCAACCCTGGCTCTATACGTCTGTCTAAAACAACTATTCGTAATATACTAATTTATTGATACAGGTAAATTATAGATTGACCGGACTGGCCGGTCAGGGTCAAATAAAAACATAGATAATAGATAAGCAAACATAGATAATAAAGATAGTAAACTAATATAATCCCCTGAATTTATTACAGTTTAAAGGGTCTTATCCTACCTAAAATTGTCTAAAGAATCGAAGTATAAAGTTCTAAATATTTTTTTTTTGTTTAAAAAAATTAACAAAAAATCAAGAAAGAAAGAAAGAAAGAAAGAAAGAAAGAAAGAAAGAAAGAAAGAAAGAAAGAAAGAAAGAAAGAAAGAAAGAAAGAAAGAAAGAAAGAAAGAAAGAAAGAAAGAAAGAAAGAAAGAAAGAAAGAAGGAAAGAAATAAATAAATAACGAAACAGAGAAAGAATAAAAAAGGATTTTATGATCAAATTATTTTTTCTCATAACTTTTGATTTTTCGCTAAATATATTTGATGAAATTCTAAAGTATTTTGCAATACTTCTCATAAACATATGTACATCAACAAATATATAGATCAAATGTGATACAAAAAAAGTTTAAACACATTCAAAGATTGTAAATATATTCAATTTCAGTTCTTTGAATTCTGGGTCTATTCGAAGTTTTATAAGCTAAATCATGTTTTGAGTCGCTCAACCGAGTTAATAATTAACGAAAATATCGATTCTTTAGCTCATTATTATTTTATATGTATGGCATGATCTTCCTTTATATAAACAATGGATATACAAAAGGGGCAGAATTATAAAAAAATTATTTTTTTTTGAAAATCATTTTTTTAGGATTTTTTTTTATTGAAATGCATAAAACTGGGTGAGTTTTTATTATTTACCCCTTAAAGAGGGAATGCCGCGTCCTAGATACAAAAGAGCGGCGTGGAGGGAAACCATGTAAACAATACCAGCACTGTAAACCAGAAACATGTAAACAAATAGCAGGACTGTACGGTAGTGAGGGTACATGTCAACACAGTATTTAAACTAAAGCGGGGCCTGGGAACCATCACTATGGCGGGAGCTGGGGATAACAAAGGTAAGCCAGTTAAGCGTTATTTCAAGTGCCCTCTATGCAAAGATGGCAATTTCCAATTCACAATGGTACCCTTGAACGCTTTGTTCAATGAAGTATGAATTAGAAATAAATGTTTATAATTTTGAAAACTGATTATTTTCAATTTTGATTAAGTGACTTGGACATTTTACTAAAGGAAAACATATAGAATTTATCTGAAATTTTAAGCTAAGAAATGACAACATCTTTCACATTATCGATCAGATAAAGGATTCAAGAATACCGCTGTGAACAGGGCATTAATGCCATCTTTGCGTTAAGCATAACTTTAATCCAACACTTGACATTACGCTCACAGTCCCTTTAATCCAACACTTGACATTACGCTCACAGTACCTTTAATCCAACACTTGACATTACGCTCATAGTTCCTTTAATCCGGCACTTAACATTGCGCTCACAGTACCATTCATCCAACACTCATGGCATTACGCTCACAGTCCCTTTAATCCAACACTTGACATTCCGCTCACAGTCCCTTTAATCCGACAGTTGACATTCCGCTCACAGTCCCTTTAATCCAATACTTGACATTACGCTCACAGTCCACTGGTTTCACTGAAAATAGACTCGCAGTCGAATTATTTATTCAATTAATACTCGGCAAAATATTAAAGGAATTGAGCCTTAGCAAGATATAAAAATTTTTAATCCCTTTATCCATGTAACCTGATGGTGTAAACCTGAAATATTTAAAACTTAGGTTATTTGATCTAACAAAATTCACAGTTTGAAATATCTAAGGTGTGGATATTGGATTGCATAGATATAGGGATTTAGAAAATCAGAGTTTGTGACAAAGAATCAATACCTTTACTAATCCCTTTAGTTTTGTGGTCTGAATATTAAAGACCAATTATAGGTTGGAATAATATATTGATTAGATTAGAATATGTGCCAAGTGATTCTTTTTTATTGTTTATTTCAATTTGGTGTAAGGACATTTCTTAGAAAGACATTACATAGAAAATTTTTCATAGATATTTTTTCTTTTTTCAGAGTAATCTTATTTAATGAATCTTACAAGGGGTATAATTCATTAAATAAGATTACTTTGAAAAAAGAAAAAATTTCGAAGATCTCTCAAACTTTTATTTATCATATGATTCATAATTTCGCTTTAAACTGATATACTTGTTGATATAATTATATCATTTAAATCAAAAATATATGAATTTCAAACTAATTACATTTTCTAAAATTATGACCCATTTTTAGTCAAGTAAAACGTCTCTGAAAAAATTGGTTCTCTGACTAAAATTCCCGGTCTATGAGAAATCTGCTCTGTCTATGAAATGTTTTGTCTTTGAAATGTCCTATTTGTGAAATGTCCAATTCATGAATTTCTGAATTTCTTTTTTTATGAAATGTCATGTCAATTAACCCTATTCCTGCTGGGGGGGGGGCAATTTGACCCCCCCCCGTAGTTTTTCTTACATAACTTAAAAAGTATTGGTCTGAGGTTGTTGAAATTTTCTGACTTTTCCTACATACCCAAAGCCCTTCCTTTAGGCCTAAAACCGGGCTTTAATACTAACTGCCTGAGTCCTCAGGCACACTGCCTGAATGACTGCTTTTTCCTGTAACAAACTAAATCTTTGTTTTGACCCACTTCCACTTGTCAGATTTGGATAAAATTTAGCTTTTTGGAAAGCCTTTGACATAAGAAAACGAATTGCGCAAGGTTTGCGAAAAAAATTGCAAATTTTTTGCAAACAACCTGTCAAAGGAAATTTGCACATTTTTAGTTTTTCTTGATTAAAAATCAGGATATTTAAAAGTTTGTAAAAAATTTTTGCATATTTAAAATGGCAAAGTCAAGGGCTTTTCAAAAATGTATAATTTTTCATTTTTTGGACAAATTTTTTTTTTGCAAACATTTTTACTATATAACTGGATTTTCCGATTAAAAACTCAAGTTTTGCAAATTCGCAAACTTTTTTGCAGGTTCTAAAAGTAGGGCACAAGAGCTTTCCAATGATGTATCATTTGTCATATTTGGACATCAAACATGGGATTTAGAGGGAGGGGTCAAATTGACCCCCCCAGCATATCCTGGTTTTCAAGTACCCCAGTAAAGATAGGGTTAAATGCCCTGTTTATGAAATTTCCTATCTAAGAAATGTCTTTCTATAAAATGTCCCAACACTATTCATTTGTATTGTATCAACAATAGACGTTTAGCTTTACAAATACCTTTTCATTTGTATTGTATCAACAATAGACGTTTAGCTTTACAAATACCTCATTTGTATTGTATCAACAATAGACGTTTAGCTTTACAAATACCTGTTCATTTGTATTGTATCAACAATAGACGTTTAGCTTTACAAATACCGTTTCATTTGTATTGTATCAACAATAGACGTTTAGCTTTACAAATACCTTTTCTTAGAACTGTTCCAAACAGCTGGAGAATGGAGAACACCTGGAGAATGGAGAACATCTTGAAGAAGACTTCAATCTCTAGGAAACTGATGCAACCAGCCCTGATCCACAAGATCAGGGATGGAACACATCATACTTAGTTACCAACATTGTCCATTTTAGATTCATATTTAGAATGGACATATTTAAGATAATGTTTGCATTCGAAATATTAAACAAGATTTGTTTAGTATATTGAAGACATAACAATGAGAGGTTTCACTGCTTTCCAAAATCATTTCTTAATTGATATGATTTTCTTCAATGAAAGGTTTCTGCTATAGTAAATCCACTTTTCGAAATATATTAATTTACATTCTGAAAATTAATATTTTTTGCTGTGGTACTTTATGTACTAATATTTTTTCTCTTTTAACTAGCTACTACAACAACAACCACCACCACTCAGAAACCAACAACGCTGCCTGCATCGGAGATGCTTTATGATTTTACTGCAGATTATCACTGGGATAGGTTTGATGTAAATTCTACAGCAAGTGAGCTGATTGGAGGCTGGAAGGCTAGAACTGGCTTAGCTCAAGGGCCCTTTGGATTTGGAAGGGCCATTTCATTAAAAAGTGAACAGGCAAGTTACTTTTGATAAGTCCAACTCTCTAAAAAATTTTGAGTAATTGGAGAATTTTGTTTAGTGTATGTATGATACTAATTGGATGAAGCCTCAAAGTAACTTTTCTAATGATCCCTGTATGATGAATCCTCAAAACTGTACTCTGGGAATAACTTTCAATATATGGGAATCATTTTCCTTTAGCGGAGATTTGTTTAACCCTGGTGCAGTATCAAAGAAGTATCTGATGAGCACTGGGGGAGATTTCAATGCTGTGAGCGGAGAAGCATGGCCTGGCTTTTCCATTTATCATGAAGGTTTGAACATAGTCGGCCTTGTAAGTACTGGAACAAGGGTGTGGACTTTGTCTGTTAGTGGACAATTATATAACAATACCTGGACTCAGATTGGCCTAAGGTTTGTTACTCCAAACTTGGCAGACCCCAATCTTGCTTTGACAGCTGATGGATTAGAAAAAATGGGAGGCCTGGAGATGTTTATCAATTTAGAAAAGGTTGGACAAACTGTACTTCCAGATTCAACAGCTAGAGGATCAACCAATTGGATCCCTCAACCTAGGTTGACTGCTGACGGAAGTCCCAATGGTCAGCCTGTTATGATGTTTGGATGTCATCAAAACTCAAGACTGAAGTTGACCAATAAATTTACAGGGTTTGCAGGCACAGATGATGCTCCAGCACTAATAGATGAAGCTGTTATTTGGAATCATAGACTCCCTGATAGAGAGTTACCCTACATGTATGGTGGATTCTCCCCAGATTTTGGAAATGTCAATGCAGACCAATTTGGTGCTATGTTAGGAGGAGTAGACTTGCAAGATCCTGAACAAGCTGCTGCAGCTCAAGCTGTTCTTCAGGCCATGTTAATGGGCCCGCCAACCACTTTAGCACCATTCCCTACAAGAACACCTATTCCCACAACTGTACAAACATTATCACCTGAAGAGGAAGAAGCTCTCAAATTAACCACAAAAACAACAACCCAGAAACCTGTAGAAACAATAGATGACCTTAGGAGAGGCATACTTTCAAAACAGAATATTATGTCATCTATGCTTGGAACAAGTGGTGCTACTCAAGGACAAGATCCAAAAGAGGTTGAAGGAAGATTTTCCTTGGCAGTGGTTGCTTCTGCATTGCTAACAGGTGATCCAGAGAATGTAAAGAAATGGAATGCTGTTGAAAATGAACCAATTCATATGCATGAAGGACCTGCAAAGACAGTAAGAGAACTAGAAAACTATATGCTGGCATGGGTTGGAAGTGTTAACACATCAGCTGATAGAGATGGTCAAGATTTTAAAACATCCTTTTTCAACTCAAAGGATGATACATTAAGATACTCTGCTAAGGCAGATGACATGGTAATGAATGTTGATAAACTTCCTTTGGGCCCCATACGAGGTGCTAAAGGGGTAAGGTTATCCTATCCTGACTATGATGGATGGGAGTGGGCTGAAGCAAAATCTAAATGGAAAAATGTAAAAGATAACTTTACTGTTCCCACTGGAATGTATGAAGGTATTGAAGGATGTCAAGATTTACCAATAACAATTCTAACAGCAGTTTACAATGGCATGACCTACATTTCCCCCCGCAGAAGAAATCCTGTAAATATCAAATCAGAAATCTTTAGAATTGATACCAAGGTTATTAGTGTTCGAACACGACTGGAACCTGATCCAATGGATGGTGATATTACATCTGTGTACCAGTGCCAGCCAGATCAAAAATACATGCAATGGAATCCTGTCAGACTGACTCTTTGGCATAATGAGGTTGCAAAAGCTAAAAGAACTCTTCTATGGCATTCAGATGAATATTGGGAGGGTCTAGAGGTCCGACATTGTGTCTGGTGGAATGATAATTTTGGTGTTACCGGAGCCTGGGATGACACCCCTTGTAAAGTAATAGCTACTGATGATGAAAAGACAAGCTGTGAATGTTCTAAGTTTGGAATGTATACTGTTTTAGCAGAACTCCTAGAAGCTCCTGATGAAGCAAATGGAGCTATGTGGATCCTATTAATAAAATGGGTTGGAATCATTTTGGGAACAATTCTCCTCACACTTTTCATAGCAGTGGTTTTCCTGTCACCGTAAGTATCATGATTTGAATTTTTAAGATTTGTAAAGTTTGACTTAATTTTTTTATTTTAGGGTTGTTGGAGAAATGTTCCATCAAATCAGAATGTGGTGCTGTCTTTCTTACATGATAGCTAATATTTTGTCGCTTCTTGCTGATATTGGTCTGTGTGATGGAAGGCACACAAATATTGCGATGTCAATGTCCTTGATGTTCTTTTATCAAGCTTCCCTTTGGTGGAACATGTGTGAAACTCATGCAACCTTTAAAGGAATAACAGCAGGGCTTATTAATGGAAGAACATCCATTTACCATCCCTTTGCCTGGGGAATGCCATTAATATGTATTGGGTTCATTACTTTTTTTCAAGGAGACCTGCTTGGGACGCATCCAACCTGCTTCATATCTTGGGAGAAAACACCAATAATGCTCTACTTTGCTTACAATGGACTGTGTTTTGTCATCACCCTTATTTACACACTCATAATAATATTTAACATGATGAAAGTCCAAAGTCATAACAAGGATACGGTTATGTACCTCAAGGATCAAATCAAGGGCATGTTTGCAGCTTCCCTTCTTATGTTTGTTCTGTGGTGTTATGGTACTATTGGATATTTTTCCTACATGAAAACAAATGACATGGATGTGGTCAACCTAATGCCACTGTTCCAAATATTTAATGGTTGGTTTGGAGTACTACTCTTCCTTGTCCTTGGAATGTGGTCAAAGAGATTCCGACAAGGATTGAGTTCTCAAGCTGAAGAGAAGAGAAGACAACTTGAAAACTTGAAGCATAGAGGATCTTCAATTGCAGAAGAATCTCCAAGCACTGCTCAAACTTCTCCAACATCTAGCCAACCTGCATCACCCTTTGGGAGTAGACCATCATCACCAGTAGAAAGCAGACCAGTGACGGCTGCCAGAAGTAGACCAGCAACAGCAGTAGAAAGCAGACCAGGATCATCTGCTGGAAGCAGACCAGCATCTTCTGGAGGAAGTGGACCTGACACAGCAGCTACAAGTAGACCAGCCACAGCAGCTGGTAGTAGACCTGCCACAGCAGCTGGAAGCAGACCCGCCACTGCATCATGCAGTCGACCAGGCACAGCTATACAAAGCAGGCCTGTAAGTGCCATAAATGAAGAGCCTCAAGAAGATGATCTTACTGAAGTTGCGGAATAATGGAAACATGATGACTTTTATCTGTTTATAAAAAACATAGAAAATATATATTGTCAGATAATTTGTGTATATTTATGTATTTAGGATAGTGTGTATGACCCTCATGAAAAAACTCTTCTCCAAACACTTAAGGGAATTTAGATACTCTCTGCTATAAAACCTTTTTGCTTCAAAGGATTTTCTAAAGTTTATTTACATTAACAAGAAGCAGAGAACTTTTAAGCAGATTAATGATTTTAGTAGGCTTAAGATTAGCATAAAAATATATTCTTGATTGATAGAAAATAGTGGATGATTTTGAGATTAAAATGAAAAAAAAATAGTAGAAAGAAAAAGGTTTCTTTAGTATTGCAAAAAATTATTGAAAAACAAATTCTGCTAAAGGAATTGAGTCTTTGTCACAAACTCAAAACTTCTACTATTTATATCTTTGCAATCCAATTATGTAAACCTTTAATATTTCAAACTATGATTATTAACAGATCATAAAAATCAAAACTAGTATGAAATATCAACTATATATAAATGTGGCGAAAGATAATCGATGACTATAGGTTGTAATATCTGAATGATTTGTTTGATATTAATTTGATTTTTTTACGGTCTAAGTCGTATGTTCCAACTTCCTCAATTTGTATGGGCACTACGCTCTTCAGTATGAGACATCTTTATCAATTTTCTCCATATAGACGCAACAGATAGAAGATTAGTAGCGATCAAAAGCGCTTTTTATCGCATTAAGTCAATACCCCTTTCATTTTTCGCGAACACTCCCTTCAAGAGAGTGATTCTGAAGAGTGATTCGCTATCCAAGAAGAGTTACTCGCTCACTGTAATCAAAGCACAGTATTTTCCAACTAATGTGTATTTAGATATCTATGTTACAGATTAATTTTAATATACGTATTTAAAAGATTTGTGTGGTTATATATTTAGGCGTAGTTAATCTAGTCAAAATACATGGTTTGACATATTTACAGACGTATTTAGGCTAGGTTGATTACTTTACAAGTTTTGCGTAGTTAATTTTAAGCACATTTAGGTTTACAGACAAAGTATAACGTAATATATCTATTTATATATATGGGTTGCTGCGGTATCTATTACATGTATTTTATTACTCCGATGAACTGAAAACTCCGCCTTGCTGTTTGAAATTTATCTCCCCGTGATTAAACGAATGAATATTTTATTAAACCTTTTAAGACTTTCGTTTATATAAACTTGAACGGTGTAGGACCCGAATTAAAGTTCCCGGAACAAACTTTACATGGGGAAAAAAGATTCTCAGCAGGCGATTTAATCTATAGATCATGTGTACTTAAACAAGGAATTATATTTAATCTTTAGATCATGTGTACTTAAACAAGGAATTATATTTAATCTATAGATCATGTGTACTTAAACAAGGAATTATATTTAATCTATAGATCATGTGTACTCAAACAAGGAATTATATGGCTTTACATAATTCTGAAAAGCAACAAATAAAACTTATTGAACTGAAATCTAAATAAAAGCTGAAGTTGACAATATTTTTAGAAATTCTTGTAAAAGAAATATAAATTTTAGACATTTCAGAGTTTGGAGAGCTTCAGCTCCGCGGATTTATGTTTAAAGTGTTTTTGTTCCATCTCAACTCAGCTTAGATGACTAACCCACTGTGCTAATATCTCAAATATGAAATAATACAAAATGGAGAAAATTGGATTTATTCGTTATAACAGCACGAGTATCTATAGTATAGATATACTAGCTTGGGAACCCAGCATTGTCCAGGGTAGTTATAGTTACTCCCGACATTTATAGAAATATGTATATTGTTATATTTTTATAAACATATGATTTGTCTGTCTGCAAAGTTTAAAACTAGTGTCTTATAATCATTAAATGAACATTTCTAGGGCTGCAAGAAATGAGAGTTAGTGTGCCCAAGACGGTTTGCGACACTTAAAAGTCGACCCAGTCTTAAAATTGATCTTTGTGTACCAGGAGTACAAACACTTACAGCTAGCGGGACCCAGAAAACTGGGGAATAGGAAGACGACTGTTAGATTCAATTTATAATCTTAAATGTCCAATGAACATAAAGAACAGAAAGGGAAATTTTAAAAAGTTTTTTTTGCGGTCTAGAAAGAACCTGTCAAATCATTCGTTGGGATGTTTAGAAAGATGAAAATTTCCCTGTATGATAATTGAAGGACTGTGGTGTGGTTTTGGTGAATTATATTGGCGTACAAAGCCTAGGGGTGTCAGAAATGATTTTTTTTGCATATTTTTAAAAACTTCTATAAAACTTTTTAAGTTTAATTTTTGATAAAACCTTTTGTTCTGGATGATTGCAAATATCTATCTAAAACTTTCTTAAACCGGCATATTTTTTCTATATTCATTTAGTTAAGAGTTTGAGTCAAAATAAGTATTAATA